CGAGCGGCGGCAACTAGGGTTTTGCCGCGTTTTGCACGCCGCAATGGACATTGTGGCAACTATAGTTGCCACACCCTTTACATTCAGTTTTTTCTTGAACGCGCCATTTCTTCCCAGGTTTTTTGTGTTCATTTTTTAGGCCATACCACAACATAACCAAGAACCACGCGGCTTATAGAATGACCAAATATTCTTTAGTTTGGCAGAGGTTTTTCGGACCGGACGAAAATATCCGTTCAGTTCATTCCTCATTTTCTCTTCATTAACACGAACATGTAGATAAAAAAGAATATTAGAAGTGAGTACAAAGCTACTCGTGTGGCAAGATATGTGTTTTTACCGAAACAACCACGTCCAAAATAATTTTGAAATCACTAAAGCAAAAGTAAGTGAAACTTGCCTTTTCAATGCTGTAACACATCATTCGACCGCACTTTCACATGTGTACCTTCCAATAAGTTTGACACACCGAATATCAGTGAAAACATTTTGTCGCATCGAAGTATTGCGTATTTAAAGCTCAAAATCCACAGATTTGTTGTGAGGCGGCGGCGCTCGCAGAACCGCTCTGGTCCCACGCGGCCAAAAATGCCAAAACGCGCGATGTCGTCAACGTGTTAATAAGTCTGCCACGAGAAGGCTGTTTCCATTTTTGCATCTAGGAGATTGAGCAAGAACGTTAGGGGGTTGTAACTGGCAGTGAGCGAGCCCTAGAGACATCTAGAGTCGCAGACACCAATGCACTCCCAAACAGTAAGCATACGTGTTAGCAAAATGTGCACTCATGCACTGCGAATTATCAGGTATTATGGGAAGCTCGCCCATGGGCGTTCCCTCACATTAGCGATCATTTTGGTTTTTCATGTGTGTTGCCTCTTATACACTTTCCCTGCGGTCTTGGTTTCTTTTATGGAAAAGGATTATAATCTGGTTACAAGAAAAAAAACTGTGACAGTCGGGGAGACACGCTCTGACGTTATTGGGGCGAGAATCCCATGTGGATTTGTACACCCACACAATATATTACCTTAGGACACGGTTTTTTTGCCTTTTCATAAGATTTTGATAGCGAGCATGATTGATTTCAGTACACGAGAGACCCGATGATCTAATTACGACCTGGCTATCACGCGTACAATACATCTCCCATAGTTTCTCGGGTTTTCTTTTGGGCTGTTCGGGTGGGACCAGAATTAAAGTAGGAATTCTTTGCTGGGCGTGGGCGCACGCTATGAAAAACTGCCGTCTAATAAGCGATAAATAACGCACGCGAGAGAGTGAGACGTACTCAATTGCTTATTGCCTAAGCGTATGACGTGGCCAATTGCGCTTACCAGGAAGGTCTTTCAGGGCGTGACAAGCTTTTTGAAAACGGTCTTTTGCATGATATAGGGGCAGATGCGGGAACCACAGAACCATGTTCAATTTTTCCTGAACGGCCCTCTGAATACCAGAAAAGGGGTCCCTAGTTCGATTCCTCGTGGTGACAAATTTTTGCATTTCGAGTTGACGTTCCAAAATTCGCGCAAAATGGAGTTAGCATGAATAATTAGTACCATATTCATGATTAGGACCGTCAGTAACCCTTACAAAAAGACTTTGACTTAAAAATTGGTGTAAGAGGTGTGACACCAAGCAGCCCCACTGTGGTGTCACACCTTTTTCACCAGTTTTTTAATCAAAGTCTATTTGTAAGGGTTACTGACGGTCCTAATCATGAATATGGTACTAATTATTCATGCTAACTCCATTTTGCGCGAATTTTG